ACAAATAACAAAACAAAACTGGCTCTTTGTTGGTAACTGAAATTAAGGATATATACAGTGAGTGGGCAATGACCTTCCCTGGGCCTAAACTATTGGCCAAGAGTGACATCCGCATAAAACAGGTACTCTACACTCAAAAGCCTAGAAATTTTACTGTTTTCTTTTTGTCTGTCCCTTTTACCACATCAATTCCTTCACTCTGCAGACATTAAAGCAAACTCTCAAAGCACTCAGGCAAAGTTATAACTAAGATATCTTATTATTGCAAATTATAAGGAAAACTGAGAATGCTTTTCCATTTTTTACTTTTAAACGATTATGAAATTATATTTGCCTGCATCCTGCAACTGATCAGAAAATCACACTAACAAATACTGTAATAGTTGGTATATCTGATTATATAAAATTGGGTGGGCATTTGATCTATTGCCAACCTTCACCTCCATGTTTTGATTTGATTTGCACCAAAGTAATGCATAAGATCAATTTACTACTTATTATCACTGCGTTCTGTTTCCCTTTTTTGGTTTTTACTAGAAATTCCTGGGATCAAGGACAAAAATGACAGAAGACATTGACAATATTTGTTTCACAATTGACTAAATCCTTGCCTGCCATGATTTAATTGGTGACTTTAACCTCATAGCAACTTAAGAGACTAAGCAAAAATTGATTAATTACATTTCCACCTGATTACAACTGTCAGATATGAGGTTTATGAAAGACAACAGAATATTATAAAATCAAATTGGAGGAAATATGATTACTGAATAAAGAGGTTACTTTACCTATACCTATAACCCACATGCCTGCTAAATAGTTATTTGCTATGTGCTGAAAATAACTACTTAGCAAAGCCATTCTTTTAACAGAAACAGTCTTCAAAAGCTAATGCAAATCTGTTTTGAGTTTATTACATTTGAATATATATCTTTGTTTTTTAAAGTTATATAATTAAACAAGATGAAGCACAAATACTATTGCATACATAGTTCAATACCACCACCTATTGTTAGTTGCTATTAAGTTAACATTTTTTATCTAATGGGTCCAAGTGTATTAAGATACAAAATTGTAAAACCACAGTTGAGCGCATTCATTTTTCTAAGTCAATTTTTGAGTTGGGGTCTGATCTAAGAATTCACTGAGTCTGGAAGATCAAGGAGGAAAACAGTGTGAAAACAACTAACTAGGCACAAGCAGCTAAATTTGGTCAGTTTAAGGGCATTCTTTCTTCTTCCTCCTTCCCTTGGATTTTCCTGGTGTAACGGAATATTTTATTTTGAACATCTAAAAATACCCTTCCAAAACCTCAGTAGTAGTTAAGATTATTTAAATTTTAATTCAGTTTCCAATCTGTCACCAGTTGGGAAACAGTAATCTAAGGGCTAGGAATGAAATCCTTGGCCTGTAACAAAAGTGCTTATTAATATGTAAGAAAAATGAGACCAAGATTTGAAAAGAGACTGGGTATAAAAATAGAAGGATTTTAAAAATTAAGATTAAAAAGCAACACCAACACTAACAATTTAAAACTGACAAATGACCTAAAACATAAGAAGACTTTAAAAGTGTGAATACTTCTAACAGAAATACTGATTTAATGAATGAAAATCTTCAATGTAGAAATAAATTACGTTTAAGAATGTAGGACTTAAATATCAATAATTTTTGTAAAGCTAAAAATTGTTAACGCTTTAATGAAAACCATAACTTTTAATGCATAATGGTTTATCTTATGTAGACTGTACAGAAATATAAACATGATTATAATGAATGACTACAATACAAGTATATGATATAATAATGTATCATGCTTCAAAGGTAAAAAGGACGCATGATTACACAGTAAAGAAATATCAATAACACTATTCAAAAAGGACAGTCTGTCTGGGCCTAAAAAGCCTAGACCTATAATTTGGATTTTCTATATTAGATTGCTTTCAAACCTATCTCTAAAGTGTTAAAAAAATAGTAATTCCTTAGTTTTACTAGTACTCTATCTCACTGCAAGGCCTTTCATATAGAGTAAAACAGATGACTCACACCCACTAGAAAAAAATATATATAACATTTTCCACATACACCAGTTTGGAAAATATAGTTATTTACTATACAGAACGTTCTTTAGATTGATTAGAAGATAAAACCTTAGGCAGGAAAAAGGTCATCTTTGCAGCCTTAACAGTACTGTGCAACTCGGCCCACAAACTTGAACAAAATACTGGAGTGGCTGCTTCAGAAGGAATGGCTAAAGAAATATGGTCCTCTGCTCATATTCAAAAATCACAGATTCATAGGACTCTGGAACAAAGGGAACCTTCATAATACAGTCTAACTCTCTTGTTTTGCAAAGGAGGGAAATGACCAAACTTACAGCTAGTTAGTTGGTGGCAAAAATCAAGACTTATATCCAGTTCTCTTAACTTCCAATACAGTATGTTCTTTGTTATACCACATTTTGGTTTTTCTTATTTTGGACAAACTGAATTTATAAAATGAAGCAGGCTGTAATATTATAGATTAATCAGAGCAGCACTGAGGTATAATGAAAAATAATGAACATTACTTCAAAATACCCAAATTAAAGCTTATCACTTCCTAACTGTATGAACCTTAACATCGCCAGGTACTGATTAAACTATAAAATGGTACCTGAATGCCAGTTAATGTTATCGCTATAAATTTTTAAATGTTAGACTTTTTAATAAACCCAAGTAAGATAGAATTTTTCTTCCAATATTATATTTTCATAATGGAGTTATTGAGAACATGATAAAGCAGAGAGGTTTAACTGAAATAAATCTAAATTTGGTTTCAAGGTCTAGCCTTCAAGGTTATGCTTACAATCATAAAATTATCAGTTTTTTAAAAAGCATTTTGAATATTTTAAGAATTTTTTAATTGATATAAATGTTTTAGATAGTAAAAGCCTGCTTTATCTTATCTACATCTTTTATCCATTGAAAGTAAATATTTAAAATGTTTTCAATGAATTAGCAATAAGTTTATTACTTCATAAGAGAGCAATTTATTGTTTTACTACTTGTAAATTAGGTTAAGTGAAAAGGTAAATGATTTTAAGAAATACTCAGATAATGAAACTCATTAACACATATCATTTCCAGCCTTTGTCATTTTATTTTGGCATGGGAACACTTCACATCATAATAAGAGTAACTTTTGGTTTATAAACACTTTAATCATGAACACTGTACAAGAAAGGGGGTTTTTTTTCCACTCTTCTTTTTCTTTAATCTTCTCAGACACATTTAGAAAGCTTTAACTGCCAGTTAGATACCAATCAAAATAAACAGCATGCTTAATAAAGCAAAATACATTTTCTTATTTTAGTACCACCACTACAAACTACAAATTAAAATATAAATTATAAAAACATGATATAGCTTTGCAATTTCAAAGCTCATACTACAAAAGAACTCTTTCTGACAATTACACAATCTAAAAGTGAATAGCAAAGTGCTAAAGAGCTGGCTGCAGTGGCAAAGGCTATTCCCCACTCAAATCATCAGTACTTCAGTGCTTTTAAGATTCCTATTTACTGCTAAATATCTGTTAACTGCTAAATGTCTGTTCAGTAACGTTAATGACAGTCCCAATTTTTACAGTAGTACAGAATATGAGAACACCAAAAATAAGCTTATTGGATCTCTCTATATTAGGGCAACATAAAGTTTTATTAAACACCAAATCTTATCTACTATACTTCCTTCCCACGATTAAGTTAAACGTGAAAACTCTAAGGAGACCAATTCCTTAACATTTTCTCCACTCCTCACCTGCAACAGTAATATCGTAACTCTGAATTTAAACTTCCCCCCATACATTTCCTATCTTGATATTTGTGGATAAATAAAAATATTTTCCCCATAAGCATAAAAAGGAATCAAGGAATAGACTAAACTGAAGACCTTTAGGTAACAGTTTCATCCTCTGCACCTAGTTGGCAAGTTTCCTGAAAGTTTTGTCCCACCGTCTTACAATTTCATCCTTCGAATGGAAATGAGGAAAAACACCCAGTGAGATGTAGTATGTACACTGAGCTGTGAGTGATCCCAGGTCAGCCTGATTCTCTGCCAGAATAGGCCAGGCAACATTTACTCTTCTTCTTGAAGAAGTTTCTTTCTCCCTCTTAATCCCCTTGATAAACTTTCTTGTATATTACTATACCACGGCAATTCATCTGTAGTTACAATACTTCACTTCCCGCAGGAATGACTTCCCAAGACGCTTTCAGACGTTTCCTGATTTCCTCATCCATTTTTGAATTCCATGACTATAAACCTGTCTCGCCAGAGGAGGAAAAGTTCTTTGAGACAAACAGGCTTGAATGGATTTTCTGAAGTCTCAGACCTTCGTCCCAATCTCAAAGCCTGTACACATCTAAGAGTTCCCAGAAACAATGAGCTACAAAAGTACAGACTAAACGGGAAAGAAGAGGAAGTAGCAGAACAATACCCCAACCAAACACAGCACCGAGAACCCGTGGTCGTCTTTCATCCCAGCCTACCACCCCCACTTCCCTAGTATAACCAAGGTCTCTCAAACTCGAATAAATGGTCCCCTGGCCCATAATTTCCCCCCTCGCTTCACGAAAAAGGTGGCAGAAAGAAAAGTAGCAAGTTCCGGTCGATCGGCGCTGTGATGCTTTTTCTGCCGGGTGGAGGGAGGCAAGCCAAGGGTTGTGTAAAGAATGGAAAGCTGAGTGATACTGGGGGGAGGGGGAATTAGGGCGCCAGAGCTAATCCCTGCCGGGGCCCGCGGGTGGAAGGGGCAGGAGGCGACCAGCCAGTAGGACTAGGAAGCTGTACTGGGTCCCGAGGAAGGGGAAACAAGTCTGGCAGCCTCGGCGGTCGGTGGGTGACGGCGCCAGACAAGGGAGGAGGCTCCATGCAGAGCGAATTGGGGGTGGGGGAGGTGGGGGGAACGAGAGCGGGAATCGCCTTCCTCACGCCGCCCTAGCCCCCCCAAGCTCACACCTCAAACCTGCTCTTGGTCACTCCGTTCACGTCCCTCCTCATGGGGCCGGCGGGTGCGGCCGGGGCCGGGCGCTGCGGCGAGCGGAGTGCAAAGATGAGGGGCCCCGGGCAGGCCCGGGAGTTACGGGACCTGGAGGAGGCAGGGAAGCGGCGGGCAGGGGCCTTCGGCGGGGAGGGGAGACCTCTCGACTCCGACGGGGCCTCCTCCACCTCCCGCGGCGCGGGCGGCAGCGACGACTGCTCGTCGCTAGCTCTTCTCTCTCCTCAGCCTCAACTTCAACCCAAAACAAAAACACTCCCCACCTGCCAGCAACACCGCTCCTCATTGGGCAGAGCCGCCCGGGCCTCGGAACAGCGTGGGGAGGGGGGGAGGAGGAGCGCGCGGCGCCGGCGGCGGCGCGGGACCACCCCTCCCCCCACTCCGGGGCGCAGCCGGCGACACTCCCGGGCGCAGCCGGCGACGGTCCGCCCGGGAGCAGCCAGAGAGGCCGCGGCGCGAGCCCACTCTCGCCTCTCAGGCAAGCAAGCCCACCGCGAGCAGGAGAGGCAGGGAAGTGCCTATGTGTCTGTGTGTATTTGTGTATGGGAGGGGCTGTGGGGCGGGTGCGAGTGCGCGCGTGCTCGCGGATCCGGGAGACAGGCAAGCAGGACAACTGCACGCAGTACCGGAGCCCCGTTTTCCCTTCCGCGGGCATGAAGCACGCACCAACCCACCAAGCACTTGAACTTTCTATCTATTCCTCCCAGCCCAAGTCTAGTCGTTTCTTCCCCGGTAGCTTGTGCTGCCACACACGTCCTTCCCAACCACCCAACTCCCTTCCCCTATCACTCACTGTCGCCTTGAACCCAAACTGCAGCAGGCGGTCCCTGCTCGGAGCCATTTTCCTCCTCTCTCTGGATGTCTCTAGATTGGGGCAGTGCTGCTGTTCCTGCCGCCGCCACCGCTGTTGCTGCCGCTGCCGTCTCCTCCCCCGCCCCCGTGGATTGCATTACCGGGTGTTGCAGGGAGGCCGGTGGGGCCGCGGCGGGGCTTGAGTCTCCCTGTGCATGGATCAGGAGGGCAGGGGGTATGCAGCGAGGCCGTACCTCGCGCCTTGGGGTCAGGGGGTGCAGTATTAGAGCTCGGCGACTATTCTTTTAGCTGGGGGGGAGGGGCGTGCTTTGGTGGAAGTGGGGGCGGGCGAGCCTGAAAGGCCTTTGGCTTCCCCCGCCCCTCCGCCGCCCGACCGCCGCTGGCGCCCAATGGGCTCTAGCGCCTGCCCGCCCTCCAATCAGAGGTCTGGTTGGTGAGAACCTGATCTTGACGCCACTTTGGCGGGAGAAACAAGCGTGTCTGGACGAGTAGGCGGGAGCGTTTGCCTACAGGAAACGACGACATTCATCTGAGTCCTTGGCTCCTATAGAAGCTAGCTTGTCATCGTATTATTATACTTTAGCAACTCTAGCCCTCAAGGTCTCAAAGTTTATGATCGAATTTCCATAAATTAAGGGGCACGTGTACCCTTAAAACAGCGACAAACGATTGAATCATGTTCCAAAGATAAATATTAGAAACGATCTTAAATTCCAGCAGTCCTGGCAGGACACTGCTCCTAATTGTATTCCAAAACAGATACGAGTTTGTCTTCATACCTCTTGATTCGCAGTTTTAGTCACTGGCTTGTTTTGAATTTAACTGGGAGGCTTCCTGGCTCATTACCCAACTCTTTAAACTTTTTTTTTTTTAACTTTTTCTTTCGTTGTCCTAGAAAGGGCTTCCTAAGCAAGGAACCTAAGCTTCAGAAACTCATTCTCAGGCCCACAAACCCAGTTCTAGCGGTTATAGTCTCTTCCTCTCCCAAATACATTTAATGTTTCACATGGCTTCACTTCAGCCACATAAAAACAGCCTTTTAGTTACGTCTCATCTAAGAGCAGTTTTCTCCCAGCAAGAACTTATAAATTTGGTGACTGAGGCCTACAAAAGTAAAACCAGCTCAAGCAGATAAACCGAATGAAAATGTTCACAGGTCTGTTTTCCTATTTCAACTGTCTTCTCCAGTTAATCTATTTCGAATAATACTTACTCAAGGAAGACTTTAATTTTTTTGATTGACCAGACTTTTTAAAAGCTGAATGAAAATTATTCAAAGACTAAAAATTTATTACACACAGGCATATTACTTTTTATCAAAGAAATTTATTTGCATGTAAATAAACAGGTTCTTTTGTAATGTTTTGGGGAAAAAATCCCACAGATTTGTCTACTTTCAAAAAAATGAAAAACCCCAAAATATTTACAGAACGGCCATATGCACAGAAAATCAAATTTGAAAGATTTTAGAAAAGACCCTCCCCAGCTGCTCCTGATGTACATTTTTAAAACTCAAAATTTAAAACCCAGCTTTTACAGCCGAGCATGTTTCCCAACCTAGCATATGAGATAAGTACTTCCTACCCCTCAAAAAAATCAAGCGTAGAAATAAGGGGTTAGGAAGATTGAAAAGAAATGAGATTGCCCAGGGATTGTAAATAATCAGTTTCCTATACTGGCATCTGCTTTAAGTGACTTGACTGGATATTGTATGACTCACTGGCTTCAGGAAAAGTTGGGTTTTTTTCTCTGACAATTCATGATATTGCTGCACTAAATTTTTACTCCTAGGCCTTAAGGAAAATCTTTCCAAGAGTCATCAACCTCAAGCCTGGTTTTGGCAATTATATCCCACTTCATTATACCCCCCTCTAAAACATGTTTTAAAATACATTGATTTTGAACCTGAAATCTTCATGTACATCAGAGCAGGTTTTGACCAAGAACGCCCTAACATGAAGCCAAAAGACAGAAGAATCAGGTCAAACAAAGACTACATAAGACACTAGCAGCAGAAGACAGGTAGAAGTTGACTTCATGTCCTTGCCGTCTTTTGAAACAGGAGAATGAGTACACCTAGACAGGAGGGAGGTGTCCCAGGCTTGGTTTATTCTGCCTCTTCTCCTCCACCCTGTGGAGAAATGCAGTGCTCCCTGGTTCTCAGGCAGGGTGAAGCAGTTTAGCCCCGGCTCCCTGTTAAGCAAGTTCAGATGCTGGGTCAGTGTGTGGGGTGTGCCCATCGACAATTCAGGGGCTTATCCTTCATCCAGATCCTAACTCGGGATCCTTTGATCTGGGATGAAGACAGAAAGAGAGAAAAAGCTTCCCAGTTTACTCATTTTGGTATTTGTTGGCTCTGCTTGGGGGAGCTGAGCCCCTGATACTATGCAGTACATTCCCCATAAGATTTACCCCACCCAGAACAAACTTTAAAACCACATAACTTTGTTTATTTCTGCAGAAACCAATGGGATAGGATTGAAAACTAGGTGAGAAACTTGTGAGAAATCCAACCTGGTTGTATGTCTGAGAGGCTGCTACTGTATCAGCATCACAAGATAAAGCACACTCTGGTGTCACCTTGCCCATGTCCTCCTTAGTGTCACCCAAGACATTTGACTCTGATACGGTAACCGATAACTTTTCTTGCTCCACTTTGCAATGTTTCGTTTCCTACTTCTTATTACCTTGGGACACAAAAGTGGCAGAGTTGTTGAGAGCTGATGACCAGAAAAGGGAGAACACTGGAGGAAATCAGAGACAGTCAGGAAAGAAAGCCAAAGCTGATTTTCCAACTCTATGCTAACTTCAACCTGCAGAAAGAGCTGAATATAGAAATCTTCTTCTTCAGTATCTGATGAAGTCATTCCATGTATTACACTCATACACAAATGAATCACCTGGCTTTTCTTTTTGTTTTGATCCAGACAAATGCTCGGGACCGTGCCCCGTCCTACTGATACAGATCCTGAATGGAATAATCAGGAATGGCACAGTGCAGGTGTCAAAATCAAAGTAAGGCCGCAGAATTCTGAGAGGACCCTCCAAATACTGAGAACTTGTGTTGCACTCAAATGGTCTCCTGGATTTTTATATTTATGAGAAGGGCTTCTTATTGATGTCCCCCAGAATCCAGACTCAGACCTATTCTTCCAAAAAGGTCCAATTGTGTTGCTACATAGTAGCAAGGGTTTATCTTCATGCCCACCTAGCATTCCAGGCCCCCATTACTTCAAGTGAGCTTGAAATTGTTTTAAGTGAACTATGGCTGCAAATGTTTTACTGTTTTATCTAAGGGAGCATGAGTGATTAAAGTCTGGACTCCTCCTTGTTAAGAGAAAGGAGCCCAGCTGTCAGGAATGGCATCAGTTATCCTATAAACAAAATGCTGGGGTGTGGACTTTTGGCACATTGTGGAAATAGGAGAACTATGAATTCTGTAATGGTTTTCATGCCACTGGGTCAGGGAGACTGTCCCACATTAAACCTTACTGCATCTGAAAACAAGTTTACATCCCAAAAAGCCAGCCCCGGTTTTTTTTTTGGGTTTTTTGAGGAAGAAGAGACTACAAATCAATACCTCCACAAGGAGGTTAACTCCTAATATTCCTATGATGTCTGAACCCTATGAAAAACCTCCTAAAACAGAAATACCATTTTGGTTTTCCACCTTAACTCTAAAGGTGGGCTCTGACTAATCTGCTTGGGCTTGATGCTACAGTACCAGCTCAAGCTGCAAGCACCCTACAACCAAATAAGCCTTGCTCTTCTACCTCCCATCATTTTGAACCCTGAACCTCATAGAATTAGAAAGAAATACTGTATAAAACCAGATAAAGGGTTAAAATATTACAAATAAATAGCTAAAATTATCTTCCCTCCCCCAAAACACTCCTAAGAAACAGACACCAAATATTACTTAAGTGTCCAAAATGACCGAAGTCCTTCATTTGCCCCTGCCTCAAATGGACAACTACCCAAAGGTGAACAACCTTCATGCAAATGCATCAAGGAATGTATTGCTTTTTCACTTTCTGCCCAGCCCTTCAAATACATGCACTAAAATGAATTCAAAACATGGCCTAAAAATGGAAAAAGGGAGGAAAAAAAAATATATGAATATTTCCCACAAAACTGTTTCCCACCCTTCCCTCTCCCTATGCCCCTCCCACCCCCTCCCTTTCATAAGCAAGTATTTTAACTTTTTTCCTAGCAAAGGAACAAGCAATTCTTGGTAACTAGAATCAAACCCTGTGGTTTCTTTAGTAAGGGTCTGGCTATGCCTTTCTAAATTCACCCAGCTCAGTGTCAAAGACATGCCATTTAACATTCTTAAACACAAAAATCAGACCTGTTCGTCTTACCCCTATGGTAGTCTGCCTATAAACTTATTAGTTTTTCTCTGGCCATGTTTTTTTGTCTTAAAAAGTAAGGTTACTAATTGCCAATCAGGGCTACATCCATAAGATCATCATCTTCCTCCCCAATCATAAAGTCAGGGCTGAGCCTTGAGGGCCTGTCTGTAGATAAGATTGTGTTACTTGTCATAGACAAGGACTGGTCTGAAGAGATCGGTGATTTAGACCAACTCTCTGGCTTGATGCTATGAGATTTTTTCTTGTCTCGGTCTTTGTCCCGGTCCCGATCTTTGTCTTTTACTTTCTTCTTTTCCTTTTTGTGCTTCTTATGCTTCTCTGTGCTGTATTCTGGAAGTGGTCGGATACCATCATCTGAGCTGGGACTGTTCTGATAAGATTTCTCTGCTATGGAGGAGCCTGACTCACTTTCACTGTCCAGATTCTGGGGGGTATATGCTGGTGACTTACTATGGCTGGGAGAGCCACGCTCATGCTTTGGAGTGGAACCACTGATGAGTGGAGAGCCATAGTTTTTGGAAGAGGCCATCTGAGGCCTAAGCCCTTCTCCACTACCTTCCCCAGGTT